TAATCCCTGCCCGCCGACATGGATGCCCGCCGCCGCCGCTCGTCCGCCGCCGCCGCCTCACAGAGGGCGCCGCCGCCCGAGCGCGCCTCGCCGCCCCGCGCCGCCAGACATGGCTGCGCTGAGACACCGCCCGGGACGCGGAGCGAGGGCGCGGCGCCGCTCCGGCCCCCCCGCGCCCCGGATGCGCCTGCGCCGAGGGCGGCGCCGACAGCGGCCGGGCGGGCCCGGCGGGAGCGAGGGGCGCCGGCGGCGGGCACCCGGCAGGGACCCAGCGGGGACCGGCCTCCGAGTGGTAGTGGTGGTGGTGGTGGTGGCGGTGGCGGTGGCGAGCGGGCGGGTGGGAACGCGCTTCATCGCCGCGCGTCGTGGCGTGTCGTGGGGTTTTTTATATTTACCTTTTTTTTTTTTTTTCTTTTTTCCCTCATCAAGCGAGGCTGCGTCTTCTCTCCTTTCCCCAAGTTTAGGGCTTTGGTTTTTTCACTGCCTCTTCGGGGAACATCTCCGTCCCTTGCCTTTCCCCCGGAGCACCGCCGCCCGCTCTCGGCAACCTCAGGGGCTGGAAAACTCCCAGCCCCTTCTCAGCCGTGCGTGGAAGCCACCCCCCCCCGCCCCTCTCTCACTGGGGACCGGCGGCACGCCAGCTCCCTGCTAACTCAGAAGAAAATGTCAACTGTAATTTTTAATGACAACAGTTAACCCTTTCAACCTGAGTCATGCACCACACAAAAGTTACTTCCCCATTCAAGCCCTAATTTCTCCATACACAACTTTTCAGCCTCTGCTCTCAAAGCGTTTTACATGGCAAAGTCACCGCTTTCCGGCCTCACAGACGTGGAAGCGACTCCTCCGTGCTTCATGAGGCGGCCGTGCCGGGGAGCCCCCTTGCCACGTCCAGGGTTTTGGTCAGGAAAACGTGCCCCCCTGCCAGCTCCGTCACTCTATAGAGCACCTCGCTAGCTAAATAAATGTACAGTTCATGATCATGGGAACGGCTTTGTGCTGTAGAGTTGAACACCTGTTCTAAGAGCTCCTGGATAACTGTCTGGTTTGACAATTTAAAATAAACCAAATCTTTTCCCTATTACTTTCAGCACATGTTTGGCTTTCCAAGTGTATTTATTTCTTTAGGATTTATTTTTAAATCACCATTTCTTTATCTTCTTTTGCACTTTTACTATATTATTACTCGTATTGACTGTTCTCCCACAAAACATTTACTCTGAGCTAGTTAGTTCATACTGGAGACATCTGTGCTACTTTATTTTCCTTTTAATTAGAGGGAGTTTTTTCTCTAAAATCTTTCTTGCATAAACTTAATATTATATTAGTCCTTTCATTGTTTTAGAAAAATAATTCTTCTGTAAAAATGCATGCATTCATGCATTCCAGTCAATTAACTTTGTATATTAACATATTTTCACAGTGTAAAACACTGGGAGACAATATTTTTCTCAAGCTCTTACAATGACAGTGTTGGTGACTCCAGGCTCAGACGCAGCTCTCAGTCCCACACACTTAATGAAAACAACAGAGCATGGAACAGAAATCTGTGGAGAAATTAATGTAACCTGAAACTTACACCCAAGCAAGCTTACCCTTCCATGAAACATATAACTTTTTGAATTAAAGAAAAGGACTTTAATCCCTAATCAGGACAAAAATATATAGTAACCAACAGATAAAGCAAATCTTACTCTCAGCAAATCATAATCAGTTTTTTCTCCTTCTATTTACTTTCTAAGCAGCCGGAGCACCTTGGAACTTGGGGAGCCATTGTTTCTCAGGAAGTCTGAGGAGGGATAACAAGCCAGGGAAATGGACTGGACAATTCCCAACTAGCTTGTCTTAGAACAGAAAAATGTGTTATTCTTTCTAATAATGTGTTAACTCTGCATGGCTGTTCTGTGTTGCTATCCCACGGGAAAGGTGGTTAGAGAAAAATCCTATAATGATGCCTAATCTCATTCTGGAAATTGGATTGATTAGCAGCAGACATAGGCATCTGATATATTTTACTTCTGATGTTGCAAAAGCTCATTTGAAAGTGGGAGTATTTTTATGGTATAAATTAAAAATATATTCATTTTCTATTTACTGTCCATACAATGTATATTTAAATATGAATGTACAAAAAATATAATTATAGTGTCTTTACTTTCTTCTACTCTCTATTAATACATGTTTTTCTTAGATTATTACTTGAAGTGAAATTCTGGATCTCCTGAGATCAATACTAATGTGTAGTATTAACTTCAGTGAAACTAAATTTGTTAATCTTCTTGTCTTACTTGCAACTCAGAAATTGGAACAAGGGAGTGTTTGGTAGGTGAAAGTGAACAAGCTGTTTTAAGTCACTTGTTCCAAAACTAAAACTGAAGAGAAAAAAAAAACAAACCAAAAAACAGCAATCAGGAAGAAAATTTAATATGTAACACCATTGTCTCTAACTGGAAGTTGCAGATGATATTTTGTGTAATTAACAGAAGAACCCACAACTGTTCTCAGAAAAACTACATACATGGAGTGTGACGATGGGAACAGCTGCACATCACATGCACCACACAAACAGCCAGCATTTTCTCTAGATTTTTCAGGAATTTACTACCATCTCTAAACTGCAACAATGCTTGAGGGAAAATTACAAGAGGAAAACTATTCATTGTCATAGTTTACTAGCCTTATGCTGATGTGCAGAGGGTGCACGTGGAATTTTACACACTTGGCATCTATTTTTGACAGGAATAGGAAGCAATGTAGTGTAACAACCTCTTCCTCTCTCCTTGCTCTGTCTAGTGTTCCCACTCGGGCATGCATCATTCCTTTGGCCATATCACTCACTCATAGCAGGCTGGCAACGCTCTGGAAGCCACAAGGCGCCACAGTATCCCTACATCAGTGTGGCATTCTTGTATAGGTTGCACATTTACCCCAGAACTCAGACACCAGTCCCTGTCGCTTCTCTTTCTCGGTAGATACAGAAAGTGAGCATGGCCAGAGCTTTCCGAGCTGTTCCGGAGCAGGGAGCATCCTGCGGAGCGGGCACGGCGCTGTCCAAGGTGCTGATCGCGGCTGGCAGAACACATGGGGCCCGGAGGTGCTCGCAGGGAAAGGAAATTTCACGGATTTCACGGAATATTCTGAGTTCGAAGGGACCCACAAGGATCATCGAGTCCAGCTCTTATATGGATGGCCCATTTAGGGTTTAAATCCACGGTCTTGGTGTTATCAACACCATGATCTGACGACTGAGCTAATGGCAGGGTCAGGTATGCCTTATTGCCACAATGGCTGTAGTGGGAAACAAATGACCTGTTAGATAAGTAAGACATGTTATGTTCTTCCAGTAAGGTATTACACAAGAGTTTGGTTGTTTTGCCTTAGCTGTCTGTAGTAGGATTTATATCTTTCCTATTTTGTGCTATATATTCCTGTATATACATCACTGCAAATTATGTTTCCTTAGTATAGTGACATGGGTACATCACCTCTCTAAATGAATTCCCATAAGTGGCATTTTTATGTTTCACAGTGCATATGTATAAGAAAACATACTTCTTAGCATATTGCAAATATATTTATGACGTATCTCATGTTCTGCTAAATGTAACAAGGCTTAGAGAAGTGATCTCTTAAACAAATGCTCTTGGAACAGCTAATTCCAGTGCACACAAGATGAGGGATTAATCTCTGTTAAATCCTAAGTAATACAGAGTAGCTGGTTCAAGTAGTAATTATATAATATGAAAGAGATGAACAACAGTGACAACATTAATTTCAACATTCTTGGGGATTAAAAGGTCTCAGTCTATTATGGGAACACAACATCTGAAAATAATATTTTGCAAAACTAAGAAAATCTGTGTTAGCAAGAGGGAACAGTCCACTAAAAGATTTCTTTTTAGTCTATAGATAATGAAAAAAACTACTGTGTTTCTGACTGCCAACAAACTGACACCAGGATGCATTCTGATGGCCCTCAGTGGAGCAATCAGTTTCTTTCCACAATGATGCTGTGTTTACACACCATGGATCTAATCAACGTACACACAGCTTGGATCTAAACAGCTTTCTTTAGTGTGAATTTCAGGTCAAATTATATCTGTACTGAAATTATTCATCTAGGTGATTTGAAGAACTTGTATCAAGACTGGCACTTGACATATGACAACTTCAACAGGTTTCAGTGCAGCACATAAAGGGACGGTAGACAAATCCCAAGGCATTTTCTGTCAATAGACTTATGATAAAAATCTGATTCTGAACTCTTAAAATCAATTTCAAGTGTTGACTAATGACTAAATATAGAATGCAATTTACTTTAAATTCTACTTATGTGATGGTTATCTCAGGCTCCATTTTATGATATGATCAAAACCAATGTGAAACAACACATATTTTCACACAGTCAAAACTTTTATACCTGTTTTAAATCCTTTCTTTACAACTAGGATAGTGTAGGATGATCAAAACCATAACACGTTAATATTTTTTTGGGTAATGAATTAAAGTTTCAGCTGGCTGATGATAGTTATTAGATTAAAATTGTGACGTCAAGCTGACCTCCTTTTACACAGTACTTGACAAGGTTTTCAAAATACAGTGCACAGTACTGACTTTGCAAAAGGTCTCAAAAAGCTTAGCTGTCAAATGGAATCATGAAACATCTTAACCATAAGTCACTACATAACATCAACACTACAGGTTTATCAAATATGACATAATTTACTAGCAATAATACAAATTTTCAGAAGAACTGAAGGAAATAAAATATTTAAACATTAAATTTATTAAATTAAAGTAAGAGTATTAACTCTCATAATGCCAAGAAACTTAAAAAGTAACATAATACTACTAAGCAGTGGAATGCAGACCTTGAGTTAATTAATTTCATTGTATGACTTCATAGTACCAAAT